ATTCCTGGTTTAGGTTAGGTTTGTCTCGGGTATATTCGAACCCGAGATTATTCGAGGGGAATCTGGGTCCTGTTTATTGGTGTTACCAATGACGTCACTCCTTTTGCTTGCGTCTTCCACGAGTATTTTCATCCCATTTATGCTGCAAGCAGACGCACACGATCGCTCTCTCACTCGCTAATCTGAATGCTGAGTTTTTAACCTCAACTTATCGATCAACGCGCGAAACAACAAAGTATTATAATAATGTAATAGTTGTACGCCAACTACGATTCAGTTCATTAATTTCAAGCCACGTTTTATACGGGCCGGCCAGGAACAAACGACAAAGCCAGGGGAGGAATTGAATTCACCAGCCAATTAACGAGAACAGTCGGATTGATTGTCTAGCAGTGCTTTCACTGTTGAAATTCCTTCGAATCGAAATTTCTCACAGCGACTTCAGGTCGCCTTTTGGTTAACCGATCGATCAATCACATTGTCCACTGTCTGCCCATTCGATAGTAACATCACTGTTCTAACAATGTAAATTAAAAAAAAAAAAAACGCAGACTTTTGTTTCAAAGTTTTAATTTGACGTTTCAAAACGATTAATTCGAATTAAATTTTTAACTTTTGGCTTCAAACGACTGATTAAATCCGGGCCCAGAGTAAGTGATCCGGAGACGAAAAGTTCAGGAATTAGTCGAATTAGAAAAAAAAAAAAAAAGAAAAAAGAAAACGGGAAAAACCATGTAGATTTTCTCGTCAGACAGTTATTAAACTGGATTAAGAAAATACTAAATTTACTACGTTCTTTCATGGTTATAATTAGAAAGATGTTCTCTAAACAGGTATGGCCACAAATGGCCAGTCAATGGTTACATAATAAACACTTGTCTCTTTAATGGACGTATATTCGTTTGTACTGTGGTCAATTCAACTCATTGATGTTCGACATTTTACTTACATAATGACATACCAAGTCTCATTGCTCTTAAATATCGTAAGTACTATTGTTTCAAGAAATGGGCAACTAGTACATTTACTATTTGGTATATGTTTCATATATATATATATATTTTTTTTTTGTTGTTCCATTTTAATGGATGTAAATATTCGTTATTTGTACTGTAATCAATTCAACCCATTGAGGTTCAACATTCTACTTACATAATGACATCTTAAATAGCATTGTTTCAAGGAATGGGCTAAACTAGCACATTTACTACACATTACTATTTGGTACATATTTCATATACTTTTTTTGGTTGTTTCATTTTAATGGATGTATATTCTTTAATAAATGTATATTCGTTGTTTGCACTGTGGTCAATTCAATCCATTGATGTTCAACATTCTACTTACATAATGACATACCAATTCTCATTGTTCTTAAGTATCTTAAATACAATTGTTTCAAGAAATGGGCAACTAGTACATTTACTATTTGATGTATGTTTCATGTATATATATATTTTTTGATTGTTTCATTTTAGTGGATGTAAATATTCGTTATTTGTACTGTGATCAATTCAATCCATTGATGTTTGACATTTTACTTACATAATGACATACCAAGTCTCATTGTTCTTAAGTATTTTAAGTACCATTGTTTAAAGAAATGGGCAACTAGTATATTTACTATTGGTATATGTTTCATATATATATATTTTCTTTTTGGTTGTTTCATTTTAATGGATGTAAATATTCGTTATTTGTAATATGATCAATTCAACCTATTGAGGTTCAACATCCTACTTACATAATGACATACCAATTCTCATTGCATTTAAGTATCTTGAATACCATTGTTTCAAGGTATAGGCAACTAGTACATTTACTACAATTTACTATTTTGTATATATTTCATATACTTTTTTTGGTGGTTTCATTTTAATGGATGTATATTCTTTAATAAATGTATATTCGTTGTTTGTACTGTGGTCAATTCAACCCATTGATGTTCGACATTCTACTTACAAAATGACATGTCAATTCTCATTGCTCTTAAGTATCTTAAGTATCATTGTTTCAAGGAATGGGCTGAACTAGTACATTTACTACAGATTACTATTTGGTATATATTTGGTTTTGTTTAATTTTAATTCTCTTGATTCACTGCGTCCTCCCATCCAGTTCCCTACGTCACTTCCATCTAAAATACAAGACAGGTAGAGAAGCGGACTCACCAAGTAACAGTAGCTTGATATCCTTGGCAGCCTGGATACCATCCTCCTTGAGATTCTTCTCGATCTGCTTGCTACGAGCCAGTGCGGCCCGCTCTTCCGCGGACATGGCGCAGCCCATCTTGCCACACGTTATTTTTACAAACGCCACCACCAAGCCTCTGTCCGTACCCCTGGCCGGCTAAGAAACCGTTATTCTACCCTCTTCGTGGCCGCCACCACCACCAACACCACCCAACAAACAACCGAGCAGCACGGCTCGCGACTCACGTTGCAGGAGTCGCCGCTTCTTCCACGGTCACTACCACTCTCCTCCGCCGCCACCACCTCCTGCACGTCACCACCACCGCCACCCTCGGACACCTACGCCCCGACAGCGTCGTCTTCGTCTTCTTCGTCACGGTATAATCTTCTCCTCTTAGTAGGTCTGGGCCTCCTCTCTCCGTCTTCCTCAACTAGCTACTGCTCCGCGACGCACGCCGCCTTCTGCTGACGGAGGCCGCCACCCTGGGACGAGTTTCACCCTCTCGCGAGCACTAGCCCTGCAACGAGAACAGAAATCCTTAGATTTATCGAATTTTTTTTTTTTTTTTTTTTTTTTTTTTTTTTTTTTTTTTTT